AAATATGATTAACCCATACAGATTATTATGGATTATTTAACAGATATATGATTCTGTTAAATAAATTTATATAAAATTTGTATGAAATTGTGTATTGTAATACGTGATGCATTCTCCAATAATTAAAACTTCATATATATATCGCGGTAAATATTTTCAAACTTTTGCAGCTAAATTTCAAGCACGGAAATGGAAATTTATGCATACAGACGTAGATACGGGCCCCCTAACAGTTCTCAGATTAAGGTCAACAGACTTACCAGGTGAATGACTATAAGACAACCGGACAATATTTTGAATTCAAGTAGAATTCACATTATAAACTGCACGAGTTATGTTATCGCACAATACCGATAATGGAAATTATCTTTCTAACCATTTCGAGGACAGCAGCGATGAAATGCGGTGAATTATCGTTAAGTAAGGCAAAGTGATAATACGTGAATACTTTATTTTCTCTCTGCATGAAACAAACATACTCGATGTATATCTTACTTATTTTAATCTTGCTTAAACCACATTACACCGTATTAATAGTTTCTGTAATAATATCATTTATAATTGAACTAGGCTAATTGTTATCGTATATTAATATTAACGATTAAGTTTAACATTGCTTAAAATTTTCATTTAAATAATTATTAATATAAAATACAGAATTATTTCACCATTTATAAAATAAGAATTAAATATGACAGAGAATTCTATCGTGTTGCAAAATAAACGATAAATCGCAATAATGATTATGCTACAATACGCTTGGTTACTCTGATGCTTTCATGTAAAAGAATAAACAATAACTAGTCAATGTTATATTTGCTGAAGAAACATTTTAAAAGTTTTATACGCTACATAAATAGAGAAAAAACTGTCTCGAAAAAGAACTGATAATAAGAATGTTTAATTTATAGATTTACGTATTGTGTGTGCAATGCAAATAAACGTATATAAAGACATGCGGTCCGTTTTTTCATTTCCACCTCCATTAGCTAAGTCAAGCGACAACATGCGTGTAGGTATAGACTTAATGAAACGATTATCATCACCAGCACTTCCAGTTGTGGTCTGGCTACCAGAAGGAAATTACTAGCTTGTGATAAGAAATATATCGTATGCACAAGAAGTTGGAGGAGCTCAAAAGTAGTCGCGTCTATATGTATGTAGATTTTCAAATTGTACTATTACAGTGTTCGTGTTTGTCTATTATTTTAAAATTCCTAGCTGTAAATACTTTTTAGAAAATAAAATTCATTGAAAATAAAACTTGCGTATAGCAAAGTGCGAATTAGTGCTGCATTTTATAACTATAGTGTTTATGTTTTAAGTACCGTTTAAAAATAAAAAAATTATATCAAAAATAGAGTAAATAAACAATATGCCATAAATTGTTCTCAATGACAAAAAGTTAGTCTGCTGATTAGTAAAATTATATGATGTAATTATGGCTAAATTAAATCTTACAAAATGATTTTATTTTTTGTTATTCCATTGCATAGGCTATAATAATATATTTGTATCATATACATGCAAATATAAACAGTGTATTTTTAAAATCTCATTTTCATCTCGTGCGTAGACTTGAGATTATGTTCACAGAAACTTGTCACAATTTGACAATAATAAGTATTATCGATCAGTCTTTTTTAAGATCAATTTATAAAAATATATTGATAGTATATTTTTGCTGCTTAAATAATTTCTAACATCCAGATTTGTTGAAATATATGTATGGAAAAAATAACAATGAACACATTATATAATAATAAATAAGTGACATATAAAGGAGATTATAATTTATCAATTCTCTCATATTATCTCATATGCTGCAGTTAGTTCCAAGGTTATCCATTGGTATATGCGGTTGCAACTGTGTGTAATATATAACATTTCTGATTACTGTTGTATTCACGGATTTATGTCAATATATAATGTTACGCACTTCATATGAATCTTTCGAGATGCATTACGCAATAAAAAAATTGTCATTTACAAAGATTTATAAAGATGGATTGATGATGCTTATCACAAAATAATGGCAAATTATTTCAAACGAAAGAATCTTGAGTTTATGCCCGAAATAAAGACAGGATCTCAAAAATATAAATTTTCGGTAAATAAAAAGTCGCGTGTAAACGATATAACCTGATTTGTTATTGTAAATGTGAATTAATACAGGAGCATATCGATGATTGACGACATTAAGCATGCCGTTGGAAATTGCTTTTCTGTTACGTGAGAGTTAAACTTGCGGGAAACACTGCGGGCGACAAAGGCAACCGGAGATTGATCGAATGCGCTTTACGACGCAAGGCGCAGCAAGTTCGCCAATGTGACGATGGCGATGCGGGAAACTTGAGATTCGAACGACGGCGGCGATCAGTGGAATTGATATACATATTCAACATATGCGAAACGTGTCAGGACCTTCAGCGATGATCACGAGCTACAACGTGATGCCACTAAGAAAGTACGCAGAAATCAGTTACCGCGTAAAATGCGTCGCGGTGGAGAACGAACGGGTGTTCAGCGATGTCTACATCACTCATCAGACGCGGGGTCCGGTTTGCCAGCCGGACGATTATGCTTTTCCGTCGAAGTACAGAAGACGAAGGCGCAACCTGATACAGCGGACTCTGGACGGACCGGATTTCATGAAGCTGAATAGCAAACGGCCGACCGGAAGCGCCGGTATCGCAAAATCATACTGGCAAAAGCGCAGCAAGTCTATAGGGGATGAACCGAGCGTGATCACATT